CCTTACAGGCATGTACTACCACACCTGTTCTTCGACATAGATGATAGATATTCAAAGTCAGGTCCTCCTGCTGGAACAGTGGCATTTGGCCCATCGAGGCATCTCTCCAGCCCTGAAACTTTATTCTTAAAAAGCCACTCTATGGGACTGGAGAGAGATCTCAGAATGGATAGTGTATACCGCCTTTGCCGAGGACCCAAGTTCAGTTCCCAGCACCTATATCAGGATCACAACTACCTCTCAACTCTAGCTGAAGGGAATCCAATGCCTTTGGCCTCCCTGGGTATTCCTACTTATACAACCCCCCCCACACACAAACACAAACATAATTATATCTTTTTTAAAAATCCATTATTGCTGGCCAGTAGTGGCACACTCCTTCAATCCCACCACTTGGGAGGCAAAGACAGGAGGATTTCTGTGAGTTCAAGACCAGCCTGATCTACAGAGTGAGTTTCAGGACACCAGGGTACATAGAGAAATCCTCTCTTGGAAAACCAAAAATAAAGGGGGTGGGGCTGGAGAGATGGCTCAGTGGTTAAGAGCACCAAACTCAGGTTCAGTTCACAGCAGCCACATGACAGTCACAACTGTATCTAACTCCAAAACCTGACAACCTCACAGACATACATGCAGACAAAATGCCAATGGACATACAATTAAATAAATAATTTTTTTTAAAAGAAAAACCTGGGGCTGGAGAGATGGCTGAGAGGTTAAGAGCACTGGCTGCTCTTCCAGAAGTTCCGAGTTCAATTCCCAGCAACCACATGGTAGCTCACAACCACCTGTAATGTGATCTGGTGCCCTCTTCAGGCATGCAGGCAAACATGCAGGCCAGAACACTATACATAATAAAATAATAAATAAATAAATAAATCTTAAAAAAAAAGAAAAACCAAAATAAATTTATTATTAAAAACATTTGGGGAGTGGGCAGGCAGTGGTGGCTCACACTTTTAATCCCAGTACTCAGGAGGCAGAGGCAGGTGGATTTCTGTGAGTAGGAGGCCAGCCTGGTCTACAGACTGAGTTCCAGGATAGCCAGGGCTGTGAAACAGAGAAACTCTGTCTCAGTCACCCTACGAAAGATACATTTGGGAGACTCGGGAGGAGTACGTGGAGGAAGGAGGGAGTGGGAGCCATATAGATTGAGTCCTCGTGGGAAGTTATCAAAAATAACAAGAACAAAAACCAACACATATTTGTATTGTATACTCTTATTAGTTATTTATGTTAGGGATTAACAGTATGTCTGTTACATGCAAAACATCATATATGTGTGTGATGAGTTTATAATGTGTACATATTAGCCGGGCGGTGGTGGCGCACGCCTTTAATCCCAGTACTGGGGAGGCAGAGCCAGGCGGATCTCTGTGAGTTCGAGGCCAGCCTGGGCTACCAAGTGAGTTCCAGGAAAGGCGCAAAGCTACACAGAGAAA